TAAAAAAGCAGTAATTTTTAATGTGGGGGAAATTTTGGGGGTTATAGGAGGGGGGGGCAGGAGGAAAGGGGGGATTTATTGGTGGAAAAGATGAAGTTAAAAGGGTGTGATAAAAAGAAAAAGGTAGCTTATGAAGGTTTTACAAAGCAAAGTGTTATAAAAAGACCGAGTATATGGAAGTAAAAAAAAAAGGTAAAAAGAGTGGTGAGAGAGTGCAAAAGGGGGAGGGAAATGAATTAAAAGTGGGAAAAGGCCCCTGTCCCAAAAAATTTTAAATGAAAATAAGAAAAAAAATTTTTGGGGTGAGTTAAAAAAGTTAAGAAAAACCTAGGGGAAAAAATGGATTTGGGTTTTTAAAAACAAGTAGGGGGGGTTAGTTAAAATGGGGAGGAAAGGAGAAAAAGGGGGGATGGCGAAATATTTTGAGGGGAAATTTTAAAAGTTTAAAAAGAAACAGAGGCATAAAATTTAAGGGACTGGGCAAGGTAACCAAACCCTTTTTTAGGAGTGAAGAAAACAAATGTAAGTGTGGGGGGGTAAAAGGGGAGGCATTAAAGTAAAATGGGAAAGGGGGGTAAAAACAGGGTGGAACTGATGGGAATCATGGGCAGAAATGTTAAAAGCAAGGGGGGGTATATGTTGGAGTGGTTGGAAATGTTTTTTTTAAAAAATGAAAGGGAAAAAGGGGAAGGTACCTAGGGATTGGCAGAGAGCATGTATAGTCCCCCTTTTTATTTAAAAGGGGAAAGGGGGGGGCAAAAGAAAACTTTTAAAAATTAAGAGGAAATAAGCTTACCCGGGGTTTTAAACCAAAAAGTGTACGTAGGGGTTTAAAATTTAAAGAATTAGAGGTAAGACCAAAAATTTTAGGAAAAGCGGATGAGCAAGGAGGTTTAAGTGGGGAGGGATTTGTAGGGCAAAAGGGTTTTCATTGAAGCATATAGTGAACAGTATTTAGATAAAGATAGGGAAATTTTTTTTGCATTTAAATTATTTAGAAAAGGCAATGATAGATGGGGTAAGGAACAATGTGGCAAGGTTTCAAGTTAGGGGAAAAGGTGGTAAATTTTTAAAAAGCTGTAAAGAGTTTTTTTTTTTAGGATATGAGGCTCAGGTTTTTGGGTGTGTAGAAGGGGAGGGGGACCCCACCCTTTCCCCGGTTTAAAAATAGGTCTTAGACAGGGAAGTGTAAAGTCACCAAGGTTGTTTTTAAAATATTTATAAAATGGGGTTTTAAAGGAATAAATGCTAGGGGGTTTTTGAGAGGGGTGGGGGTTAAAAATTTTGGGGAATCAAAAACCAAAAAGGGAAATTGACAGTTACTTTTTTTTCTGAAAGATACTTTGCCCTTTTTGGGGGGGTTCTAAAGAAAAATTGCAAAGGGAGTGGAAAGAGTTTGGGAATGGTGTAAAAGGGAGAAAAATTTTAAAGTGAACATAGAAAAAGTTTAAAGGGGGGTGAGGGTGTCCAAAAGAAAATTTTGAAAAAAAAAAAATTGGATATTTAAATTGGGGGGGAGGAGTAAGGGAAAAATTTTTTTTTTTCCCGATACCTTTGGGAGTTTTACCGTGTCGGGGGGATTTTGGGTTTTGAAGGTGAGGTTTAAAAAAAAAGAATTGATGAGGAAAAAAGGTAAATGGTGCATTGGGGGGATAGTGGGGGTCAAAAAAAAATTTTTTTAAAGGAGGGGGGAAAGAAGGGGAAGTATGAAAGTATAGTGTACCAACCTCTTAAAGGATGTGAACTTGGGTGGGGAATTTCAGCAAACGAGGGGACGGTTTTGGGGGCAGTGGAGATGTCCTGTCTAAGGGGAATGTGGGTAAATATTATGCAAAAATTTGGGGTGTGGAAATTTTTGGGAAAAAGGGGTGGGGGGTTTAAAAAAAGCCTTAGTCAGAAAAGGGGAGAAAGGGGGTTTTTAGGTGGTTTTGGGTCATTTAGAGAGGGAAAGGATCAAAGTAAATTTCCCTGGGAAAGCATAAAATCTATAGGGGAAGGAAAGAGGGGTAGGGGTCCCTCCTCAAAAGGGTTGGAAAGAGGGGGTAAAGGAGGTTTTTGGGTGGGCGAGGGGCTTTGGGCTTCCAGAAAGCGTGCACGAGCGTGTTAGATAGGAGTGAATGGAGGGCAATGAAACTTGGGGCCCCCGAAAAGGTCTGTTTTTAGTGGAGCAGGGTAATTAAATTTTTGGGAAAGGGGTTCAGGGGAAAACCGGGTTTTTTTTTCAATATTTTACTTGAGTCCCCGGAAATGGGAAGTACAAAGCCTGCACTTTAAAGGAGGGGTTTTGGGGTATTTGGGAGTTTTGGAGGGTATGTTTGGGGATCTTTATTAAAGTAAATGCCCTAAAAAAAATTTTTATTCTGAGCCCTCTTTCAAAAACAGTGATAATGTGTGAGTGTGGTGAAAGTGGTTTAATGATGATGAAAAATATTTCTTTTTGGGGATTTTTTTTTCCTTTTTTTTTGGGGGGCACCCTGCCTCGGTGGGAACCAACCGACTTGTTGGAAAAAAAAAAAAAAAAAAAAAAAAAAAAATTTTAAAAATATTTTTTGTCATTTAAAGTTGATGTAAAAATTTATAATTTTGGGACCAAAAAAGGAAAATTAGAAAAATTACCTTAAAAACCCTTTTTATAACAAGCCCCATTTATTTTAGCCTAAAACCCCAAATGAAAATATTTTAGATTTTTTTTACAAAAATTTAACAAATAAAAAAACACAGTGAAATAATTTTTTTTTATTAGGTTTCAGAATGATTTTGGGGAAAATTTTTGCTAAAACAAATTTTCCCCTTGTCCAAAATGGCAAAAGAAAAGTTGGGTATTTTTAAAACCAAATCCAGTTTGCCTATTTTGGCACGACCCTACATACAACATCCCTAAAATTATATAAAATATATATATATAAATATATATAAAATATTTTTTTACTTTTCTTTCAACACACCAGCCGTTTTCCCCCCCAAACCCAGGCGGGGGGGCCCAAAAGGAAAAACGAAAGTTTCTCCTTTTTCCTTTTTGAAAAATATACAGGGGAAAAAGGTTACTAGCCCCTTTCTCCCGGCATTTTTGGGCGCCCTTACAACACGGGATGGCTTTTAAAAGGGGAAGAAATTTTTGTTTTCCCCTTTCCCCGGAGGGTAAGAGGGGAAAAAAACAAGAAAAAAGAAAAATAGAAAGAAAATAGAAGGGAAAAACCCCGAGGGGTTTCATATATGTGCCCTTTTACATGTAAGTTTTAAATTACCAAAGTGTAAGTAGAATAGCAAGAAAATTCCTGAAAACTTGGGATGTTTTATGAGCAGAAAAAAGGACACCAGCAACCTACCCCATGTAAATATAAAATAAATAAATATATAAATATATAAAATAAAACCGTTTTTTTTTTTTTTTTTTGGGGAAAATGAGGCTCAGGGTTTGGGTGTGTGAAAAGAAGGGGGACTACTTCCCGGTAAAAAATAAAATTTTTAGGGCAGGGATGTTTAATGTCACCATGGTTGTTTAATATATTTATAGATGGGGTTGTAAAAGAAGTAAATGCTAGGGTGTTGAGGAGAGGGGTGGGATTAAATTATGGAGAATCAAATACAAAATGGGAATTGACACAGTTACTTTTTGCTGATGATACTGTGCTTCACTCCCTCTTCCTCCTCCTCTGAAGCAAGTTCCTCATGGTGGTTTATTTTACAGTCACAGTTAATAAACAAGCACTAAACACAATGAATTTATTGTGAAATGTTTGGATGAGCACGCAGGGTAATGTTCACTCAAGGATAAGCAAAGCTAGACTGACTCACGGCGCCTGTCGTGCAGGCGCGGGCAAGCAGACAGGTCTGGTACGCCGGCCGAAACATGGGGCACAGGCCGAAACTCAGGACAAAATTTAGAGGAAAAAAAGTGGTTGATACTCAGGGCAGTCAAAACTCGGGGTTCAAATGTAGCTGTAAACTGCCCCAGCCATAGTATTATGACTTTTATTCTTTGTACAGTACTTCCAAATTTCACATGTGCTTTGGAATTAAGTTGTTTAGACAGTATTTTCTCTTATTTTGAAAATTCTGAAGTGATCTCTTAGTAACTAAAATTAAAAGTTTTTGCTCATAATGAGGAATACTTGAATTTCAAATTACATAGATAAGCACAAAATATTTCTTAAATGCAAATTGTTTAAATGAATGATTCCTATCACTGAGTAAAGTTAAATTCCTATAAATAATAATGACTGTGGACATTTGCATTTTTGTGCAATTCTTTCTACTAGTCCTATTTGCCTATGAAAACTTAAGGTTGGAATTTATATACATAAAAAAAGAAGAAAAAAAAATATCCTCAGCATATTTAATTCACTAGGCATCAGTCATATATTTTTAATAAATCTACACTTTGTTGACAATAAGGAGGGCATAAAGAGTCAAAAACTGTAACAGTGTATACAATACACAAGTTAGGTGGTTCACTGTACAGCTGTAATGACTCCAGTTCACAGCTGGAAGACCCAGGCTCAGCTCTATGGCAGATGGAAATGTTTCCTACATCTGTTGCCCTTGTTTATTTAGTACAGGTCGGCCACCATTAATCAGGCAATCAGTTATCCGGTTCCGTCAGTAATCCGGCACTAATTTCAGCTAGCATAATTTCAAATTTCATCATTATACCGACTCAGAAATTGTGCAGATGGTTGTAAATCCACAGTAGCAAGCCAGTGGAGGAGAAAGCAGTGATGAAAATGAAGAAGATGTAGCAGAAAGAGTTTCTATTGATAGATTAATTAAGTGTATGCTAACCTAACCACTCCGTAATCTGGCAAACTCACTAATCCAGCACACTACAGATCCCAATGATGCCAGATTAGTGATGGCCAACCTGTAGTAAACAGATATCAGGGTGTTAGTCAAATGTTATGGGCTGCATCCTGAGAGTGGTGGTAGTGTAACTTGGATAGGCTGGGCTTTAAAATAAGCCAAAACAGGAAAATTCAATAAAGTTAAATAATTTCACTCACCCGAGATCTCTCCAGCAAAATCCTGGATGGCCAGCCTGCCATTGGTGCCTGGTCTTGTAAGTGTTGAAGAATCATGTGATGCTAAAGTATCAGTGGAAGTGTCCAAATCTGCATTGCAGGGGACTTTTTGGAGTTTATGGCACTTTTTGTGAACGAGGAGTTTGCACTGAGTGCACTTGAAGCCTTGCCGGCCCAATCCCCAAATGCGATCCTTGCAGAATTCGCAAAAGGCACGCTGAAAACATCCAAGGTCAAAGAGATAGTTTTATGTGCACTGTTTGCAGTAAATAATACATTCTATAAAGTTGTAAAAAATATAAATACAGTAAATACAGTATTATGGCTTACATATTTCACATTAACATTAATAAAGAGGCAAGAGAAGAATTAAAAAATACAGTACTACTGTAGAGCTAAAAATATATTTGAGACTCTGATTTGTACAGTATTTGAAAAAACTTTAAAATACACACCAGATCATTACATAATTGAAGTTATTCAAAATGAACTTCCAGTTATGTACTTACTATAAATTACTTTAAATCATTAACCTTATTTGGGGTGATTTTTAGAGAAAAAACATCTATGAACACTGACGTTAACACTATCTGAAGGCCATCTGAAGTTTAGTATTTTTAATTTTTATTAACACATCAGCCATTTCCCACCAAGGCAGGGTTACCCCAAAAAGAAGAAACACTTTCATCATCATTCACTCCATCACTGTCTTGCCAGTACGTATTATGGTATGTATAGCACAGGAGTTTTTCACTATCGTACTTAATTCCACATTCCAGTGATAATCTGCTGGCTACAATTACTCACCTTTTCTGTGTTCAAAGTTTTAATATTTTATCACAAGTTATATTTTTAATGTGGCCTGTTTCTGTTTACTCCCATTTCCATACATAACTCTTATCAACGTGGAAATTCACCACAGATTTGTTACCCTACTTGATAAACTGATCTATTTTTGCCATATTTATACACTCTGTATTCAAAAAAATTAACACTTCCCTACTTTTCTTTGTGAAGAGCAATGTTGTGGATCATTAACAAAGCAAACTACCTAAATTAGGGATATTTACAGACTTCAACATAAAAGGATATATATCATTAATGCACAGCATGCAGCTAGAATATATGTACTATTACCATGAAGTAGTGTTAACAAGGTGCTGATGGTCACCATCACCATGATGTAGTATAGTGTTAACAAGGTGCTGATAGTCATCAAAAGTCTCACCATCACCATGAAGTACAGTGTTACAAGGTGTTGATGGTCACTAAGAATCACAGAAAGAGTGCCAAAGTCTTATCAAAGAGTCTAGAAATACCAGAAGAAGTTGGACTTACTCTGTTGAAGCGCTTAGCCTGAAAGATGTGCCCATTGACTTTGTACAACTTGCGCCATCTTCTCGCTCCTCTCCGGTATATGCTCCCTGCAGGAAAACAGACCACACCATACAGTATGTACAGCATCTTAAAAATTTACAGTATACAGTATATTTTAATTGACTAACATAGTTACAATATTAAATAATGTACTTTTAAAAGCATTTTCTGACACAAAATATTAATCAAAACTTTCTAACTTTGGTAATGAGAAAATAAAAAGTATCAGAATACTGTATATAAGTGGAACATTTGAGACAGCTGCAGTTTCTCACCACTTATGATCTCAATATGACCACCTAAGCCAGTTTTGGGTGATATTTACACAATGTGAGAAGCACATTATAATGGATACACTGCTTACTATACATCAGCATACAAAATACAAAACAGAGAAAAATGAATCTTCAATACACTCAAAAAAAAAAAAAAAAGATACCTATATGTATTTCTTGTAAGTTTTGTATAAAAAGTATTAGCTCTCCACACATGCACAAAAAGACCCTATATGGTACATAAAATTTAACACTTGATAAAAGCTTCACAAAATACAGTATAGATTTTTTTAAAAATCTAACTTCTTAACTCAGGTCATTAGAGGAGAATGGCCGTATCTCTTTAAATTGTTTAAAAATTCATTTTCATAAGAGTAAACCAAGCAAAGCAAGTGGTGTTCAAATAAACATTCATTTTGTGTGTTCGCATTTTCTCTTTAGTTATGAGGGTTAACAGATGTCACTTTTTCTTGGCATGTAATATGCGTGGGTGGTGTGCTATTTGTATGAATGACCACTGTTCACTTCATCAAGAACACAATGTATACAGGGTAACATTTTATCATGTGTGGGTTGATGAAATGTAAAATACATGAAGGACTATTGTTCAATCTATAAAGTACCTTCTGTATATAAGGTAACATTCGGTATGGAAGAACACAGTTGGAAATAAGAGAGATGCAAGAGCAATAATGACAACAAAAATACACTAATCACATATATTAAATTTCAGAAAAAGTGTCTTAATTTTAACAACACATTGAAAAAAATCATTACAAGAGAAATTAACTCCCTAATGTACAAAAGCTATTAACTGAAAGAGACCAAGAAAGTGAAATCCTCAATACATATGATGTGAACTTGGTTGATAAAGGTACTCGCATTCTAATGGAGATTAACTATGTTGCAAAGTACAGTGGACCCCCGGTTAACGAACTTTTTTCATTCCAGTAGTATGTTCAGGTGCCAGTACTGACCTAATTTTTTCCCATAAGGAATATTGTGAAGTAGATTAGTCCATTTCAGACCCCCAAACATACACGTACAAACGCACTTACATAAATACACTTACATAATTGGTCGCATTTGGAGGTGATCGTTAAGCGGGGGTCCACTGTATAATTCTGGGGAGGACAAAGATGCACGCATAACTGCAAGTTTTTCAAGTCAACTCCTGATCAGCTGGGCTGTGCCACCCAGGTTGCACTCTGTACTGCTAGCCCCAACAACCTAACTGATCAGGCCATCAACCAAACCTGATCTGCGACTGGGTCAAGGGGGCAATGACCCTTGAAATCTACAGCATGTATTAACAAAGCAAAACTAACTGTACAACAGGAAAGTACTACACACTGCTCTGTCATATTATTATTATAATCAAGGGGGAAGCGCTAAACCCGGAGGATTATACAGCACCTGGGGGGGGGATGTGGAAGGCATTCAGGTTTAATTCGGGGAACCGGAGCACAGATCCAATTCCCTAAATCAAGAGCCCCTCACCAACATCAAGGAACCTTCCTTGAGGGGTGCTCTGCCATAACATTTCAGTGAATCTAAATGGAATGAAATACGGTGGTAGTTCAAGCTACGAACTTAATTTGTCCCAGAAGGCTGTTCGAGTGCCAATACCGAACGAATTTGTTCCCATAAGGAATAATGTAAATTAGATTAGCCCGTTTCAGACCCCCAAAAATACACTTACAAAAATACACTTGCATAACTATTCGAGTTGGGAGCTGTTCCAAACTCGAGGTACCACTGTACTGTATTTTCTGGTATATAAGGTGCACATTTTATTTTACCCCACAAGTCTTGGAAAATCACCGTGCACCTTATATGCTCAAGGTCAGGGTCTAGGGTAGGCTTTGGGTTATGCTGCAGCAGTTGTTTACTAATGTTACGGTACAAGTGACTGGAAACAACGTCCTACATGTCTCGTGTGATCGTGCGCCTTATATGCCAGAAAATCTAGCATTACAAAGATGAGAATAACTAAGTATATGAGCAATTTTGAAATAAAAACTCATTGCAACTGTTCATTCAAAAAATGAATGAGACAATATAAAAGATTGATTAAACAGCAGATGTTGGAAAGTCAAAATGACAAGAACTGAACCATACAACCACAACTAGACAATGAATCAACAGAAGAATGGACGAGGACTCAAAGCATAGTTCTGGCATAGCCACGACCATGGCTCAAGACCCCGTCCATGCTTCTGTTTATTCAATCATAGTCGTGAGTGAATAAACAGAGTTTATTAACAGTTTGGTAAACACATTGTGTACGATCAATACAATACCAACATTACCAGTATCATAAGAATGCTGAGAGTTGAGTTGAAGACGGTAAAAGTAACTAAAGAAGGAGTCAAAGACGTGGTTTCTGTTGTGCTGTTTCACATGTGACCAGCCATCATGCACTATGATGGGGTCAGTGAGGATCACATTCGCTGCAACATTGCTTGGTCTCCCTGTGCCTCCCCAAGATAAAGGACGGTGTCTTAAGCTCGTACATTCTCCTTCAAATTCAGTCGCTGCAGGGGTGGTACTCCCAACAAAAGTAGCCTTAACACCAGTCTTTGAGGCCAGCTTTAGATCAAGATTGCTGCAGGAGTTGGGTCGCTGGCGGAAGCGCATGAGCTGGGGATGGTGTTGACGCAATCTGGGCACGTTTCCTTCTGGAGATTGTACCAAACTTACTTTTGCATCCCCATCCTCAACTAGTGTCTCATGACCTGGGTTATGGCTGCAGGAGTTACTGACATCCTTGTACTGGTTCTCCCCACCAGGACTGTCTTCATATACACTAATGCGGTGAGGGAGTGCAGATAATGTCATGCTCTTGCTCACACTAGTATGTGGCATTGATGTGGGTGTAGATGCGTATGTGGAGTTGTTATAGATGCACGAGAGATGATCAGGTGTACAGAAGGTTAGTGGGGCTCGACTGTCCCCCGTCTCAGGGGTAACACAATGCTCACCCTGACTGTTACTCTCTCTCCACTCCCCACGACCTCCTGCAGTCTCATTCCTTGGTGTCCACTTCTTCAGTGATAACAATGACTTCGAGAGATTTCGCCACCTTTCTCTTCTAGCTTTAGTCACACTGCTTCCATTTAAAGGACTCACTACTTGGGTTGATACTGGTACCACAACATGACCATCTCCAGCTGTGTAAGTAAATTCAAAGGACTTCCGTTTTTGAACTTTAAGATCCTTTAATTCATCTGGAGCAATACAGCCGAGAAAGAGGGCTGACATAGGTCTTGGTTTAGGGGTTGTGACGGTTGTCCTAGGTCTCGCTGGGGTGACTGTACCTCCAGACAGGTCCATATTCGCCTCCCCACTGACACTATCCTCACACGGTTTGTCATCTTCTGGCAAACTCATTCTCGTCAACAAGTCTTATCCTCTAACAGAAACCTGAACAGAACACTCAGATGACATTCACCTTCTCATTGTTCTCTCCTCCAATATGTTTCTCACCAACAAAGTATATATTTTCCACATGTTCTGTGTATCTATAAGTAACATTCACTATATTCCTCAATGCTGGATGGAATCACTCCTGTATCAACGCATCATGGTGCTTGCATTCACAGAAACTAATGACACACATGCACTTCTTTATGTACACTAAAGATACCCTCGCATATACAGTAGCTGAGATACTAGGTATCAGCCATAACCTCTTTCTATCCTATACAAGACGCCCAGTCAAAGTACAAACAAGCGAGGCAATACACTGTTGTCTGTGCTCAGAGGAGAGACTGATTTCCTGCTGTAAACTTCTGGACTGGGTGCACAGACTCTGAGATAAGATAGAGGATTATTTTGGCTTTTATCAGCTGACTCATCTTGTTTACTGATATTGTGAGGAACTGATATTGTGAGGAAACCCTATACAAGAGATAGTGAGATATTGTTAAGTGCTTTTGCCAGATGTTCGGAACTTATAATAAGGAAAAATATGATATGAACATAACTCCCCTTCATCCTGTCTTCCTCGTTCTGTGTTAGTTTATCACGTCAGATAAACTGACAGTATGTCAGATAACTTATCCAAATTTGACTCTGGTGAGACCACGTATGAGAACAAATATAAGGCAGAGAGTACACATGACTGATCTAATCATAATCATGAGAAACTGCTAAACCAGAGTTTCTCTGAAGATTACCTGAAGACAGTTTTGGGGGACATCGCTTTCGTGGCCCGCTCTCTGACTAAGCCTCCTGGTGGTTGCCCTGAAGTTATCGAAGTTATCAAAGTGCTTCATGAAAATAGCCAAGAGTCTCCTTTGTTATACCTTGGATGAGTTCCTAGTTTTTTTTTTACTCCCGGAGCCCGGCCATGGGCCAGGCTCGTCTGGTGCTTGCCTGGTCAACCAGGCTGCTGCTGGAGGCCCGCAGCCCCACATGTCCATGACAGGCTGATTGATCTCTTAAAGACACACAACATAAGAAAACCTAAGTTAATATGACGTTTCGCTTACACGAAGCTTCATCAGTACACGTCCTTAATAAGGCCTCTTTTACGTGAACGTCTTAACAAAGGACAACTTGTGCTTCATGCGCTTTTCTCCATACTTCACTTACCTCCACCTACTTGTATTTATATGAAGCACTAAATCCGTGTGGGTCATTTAGCGATAAGAGTGGTGGATGCTCGATCCTACTTCCACTAATAACTAGACAATCAGACAGATGTGTTACTCTCGCACAGTCGGGCTGAGGAAGAATATACCTGCCTCCTCGTAAAGGTCAGAGTGCCTGAGTAATGGTAGGCCATTAGGTTTTAACCAACAAAATGGACAGCAGTTCGAATTCCTTGGATCAAGAGCCCTTCCAGAACACCTCCATGAATGAACACGCATGAGGAACGAAGATCATGATGGTAACATTACACTGCAACTGATGCAAGATTAGGATGACAAGAGATAAGTAAGACACACAGTTGAGGGACTGATTACCTCAAACTACTCATCTTCTACCGTTCATCACTGTACCGAACTGTGGAAGCCACTTGCTGGCGAAACGTTTTCACAAAAACGATTCCCAAATGTTGCAAAAGTGTCTAATTATTCAACGAGCCAAGAGCTACAAAGACGGCATGAAAAAAGACAAGCGAAAAAAAAAGAAAAATAGGGAGGAAGAGAGGTACGAAAAGAAGAATAAGCAGAGAGGGAGAGAGGGAGGAAAGGAAGAGAGGGTGTGGGGGGGGAGGAAGGGAGAGGAAAGACGGGGTGACCAGAGCTGGCTTGGCCAGACAGTATAGTGAAACCTGGTTGCATCTTCCCTTAGACCCAACGCAGCCACACAACCCGTCCCGTCAACAGTTAATTACCCGCATCTTTTTTTCTTTGTTTCCACTATAGGCACTGATACCTTGTTTATGTTTATGTTACTCAGATGTGCTGGACTCACATCTGTTTGATAAAGATTGGTCAAGAAAGATAGGAATAAAAAATTATTAGAACCGATATACCAAAGAAATAATGTATTAACATATCAAGTCTCTAAGAGGGTGGGGGACACACTCCAAAATTCACGCTTATGTTTAATAAGCAGCACTCCTCACACTTTACCTTCCCCTCATCTACCTACACCTCATTTATGGAATCTGTGCCTGAGGAACCACTTGGGTTACTCACCTTAAGCAAATTATAACTCAACAAGAGACACCTCTAAGAACTGTCACAAACTCGACCAATAGCCAACACACTGTCGTTATTCAAATCCCTAAACCTACTAAATATAAATGCCATTCATACACACTATTGTTCAATCCACATGTTCGAAACATTGCACTGTAATGCTGATGCTGAATTAAGGCAATTAACAGATAACTAACACACTACTTGTATAAGACTAGCAGTGTTAACACTGAACATCAACAAGACTAGTATTAATACTGAACATTAACAAGACTACTAGTGTAATAACACTGAACATCAACAAGATTGTTGAATTAGACACATGTGCAACTCTTGGGTATCTTTATTGAGGAAACGTTTCGCCACACAGTGGCTTCATCAGTCGATGTGGTCAGTCCATCAATCTTGAATAGAATACGGTATATGAGCGGAGAAGCAGCTTATAAACCGTAGACAGGTGAGGTGCAGCAGTCGTAGGTGGTGTCACATTTGTCCAATGTGGAAGTAGGTCGCGCCCAAGGGTTAGGCAAGAAAAATTCCCAAGTATTAAGATCCCAAGAAATTTGGGGGA